CTCCCCTCCCCTGCCCTCCTCTGCCCTCCCCTGCCCTCCCCTGCCCTTCCGCACCCTCCACGCCAATTCACCACGCGATTTCTAGGTGAGAGGAGTGAGTGGGCTGCCGATTTATCCATCGGGACGCCCAAGGCACCAGGGGGATGAAGGCACTGCCGCGGGGACGCTCCTGCTCCCTCTGCACTCGGCGAATTGAACAGGGAAAAGGAGAAACTGAGACCTTTGGCCGTTTGTTTGTCTGTTTCCTAGTCTTTCATAATCTGGAAAGAAAATGATTGAGAAGAAATGGCAGAAAAGAGACGGGACCTAAGGCCTAGGACTGCGTTGCCATGATAATAACTCACTGATTTAGATCCCTGAGGTTAAGAAGAGCAGCTGGGAATAGGAAAAGGGCAAGCCTTCAGGTCTCCTCCTGGAGACCTGCGTTCAAGTCCTCAGATATTCTGACTGTGCATCTGGTACATAGGGAGACTTGGGTCTAGAAGGGACCTGCTAGTGCCACTTCCTTATTCTTACAGAAAATAAATGAATGAATGTCAGAGAGTTTATGGGACTTATCCAAGGCGTTGCATTTGAAATACTCCCAGAAGCTCTTTAAGTTCTAAGGCAGTGACTGATAGGCATTGGCAGAAGGAATTCACTCACTGGAAGGTCCCTACACCAATGAGATATTCAGCCCTCCTGACTGAAGTTTCCAAAGTTCTCTCCTCATTTCAACCAGGCTATGAGAATAAGACAAAAGAGTGTTAGATTAGAGCAGTTGGATTTAGTCTTGGTTCTGTTGCTAATCAGCTAAGACTGATTTGGACTCTCTGGGCCTCAGTTTCCCCAGTTGTAAAATAGGTTGAGCTAAATAATGTCTAAGGTCCCTTCCATTGCTAACCATCGAGGCAGGTAAAGATCTTGCTCTAACACTTTAGGGTCCACAAATGTATTTCTTAAAAACCAGTTGAGATAGGTAGTATTATGTTATTAATATAAATAAGGAAACTGAGGCCCGGGGAAGTCAGAGGGATAAAACAAGTGGACCATGGCACACGGCTGTGATAGGTGAAAGGCTCAGGTCACCTGACTCCAAGTCTATCAGTCTTGTGACTAAACAAGGATGCCTTTTGCCCATGGGAGTTGGGAGACTTGAGATTTGCATAGTTGTGACTTGGGTCTCCTACCTTCAGTAACCACAAATCGCAGCTCCATAACACTTTGTTCTGTGAGATCAGTAGTCAAAGTATTTCTTTTTCTTATGGGAACTTTCCATGTCATTGGAATGGGGAACTTCAGGCATGTAAGCTCACTCTCCAGATGCAGGTCTGTACACCTGCTCAGTCTCTCCCTTGTGACCTTAACAGACTACCTGGGGCCCTGAGACAGTGAAAGACTTACCCAGAGTACCCACAGACTGTGTGCCTAAGGGGCAGGTCTTTTAGGCTTCCCGACTCTGAGGCCAGCTCTCAGCCAAGGACATCAAACTGCCTGGATTAGCCATTCAATGCCTCAGGCATCTTCATACTCCTAGAACTGAGGCAAATTTCTTTTGTTCCTCTTCCTCTGGTATTCCCCAGTTGGAAGCATGTTTGCTCAGAGAGAACAGGCTTTAGAAACTCTCCAGGGAAAAATTAAAACCAGGTTACTAAGCCTCCATTACCTCTCTGGAGTCTTACCCTGGCTCAGAGGTGGACAATGGATTCTCCAAGGCCAGGACTGCAGAATATACCGTGTCATAGGCCTGGCCAAACTGGCAACCTCTTCTGTATTGCCTGGAAACAGCCTTCCTGCCAGCCCTCCTCGGACCAGCCTAGTAACTAGAGCTTTGTCATCAGGGGAAGCTCCTCCCTAGGTGGGGCATAGGGCAATGCGTTTGGGGGCCGGAACAATTCTCGAAATTCATTTACTAAAGTGTAGAGGGTTGTGATATGAGTAGGCAGGAGAACCCACAATGATGAATCCATAAACCCTTGAAATTTAGAAGTGCTGAACCCAGTGTTGAGCAAAGCTTTGGTGAGGCATGAGCCAGGGTGCAATGTTTTATACACAGTAAATAATGGTAGGACCCTGGGCAAGTCACTTTATCTGAAGAGGTGGAGCTGGCAAGGGACTGGGAACCAGGAAGACCTGGGTTCTAACCTTGCCTCTGACATGTAATAGATGGGTAACTGTAGGCAAGTCACAACCTTTCCCAACCTCACTTTCCTGAGATAACATTTGTAAAGCATTCTGCAAACCTTAACATACTAGCAAAAAAGAGCATTCCACTTCAGACTTAGTAAGTACTAAGCTGTGTGAACCTGGATAGCCACACAAACTTAATCTGCTTCGATTTCCTCATCTGCAAAATCAATCCATCAGTGAGCATCTATTCAATACCTACTATGTGCCAGACACTATGCTAAGTGTTGGGGACACAAAAAGAAAATAGGAATAATATTAGCGCCGACCTCCCTGGGTTATCGTGAGCATCAAACAAGATAATATACATACAACTCTTTGCCAACCTTCAAGGCTGCAGCAATGATAGTAATTGGTTTTGCTTTATCTGAGGCACCCAGCTGCCTGCCTCACAGAACCTGAGCCGGAGGGACCTTAGAGGCTCCCCATGCCTAATACAAGATCAAATGATGATATCTGCATATCACTTAGCACTGTGCCGGCACACAGTAGGTACTTAATAAATGCTTCTTCCCTTCCCCCTTCCCCTCCCACTTTGCTTCCCCCTCATAGAATCTCAACATTCCTTCAAAGGACAGCTCAGATGCCACCTCCTACTCAAGGCTTTTCTTGACTTTCCCATCCCACCCCCCAGTGCTGTCCCCTTGCCACCAAATTACATTTACTCGGCAGATATTCCGTGTATGTTTCCCCATGCAATCTTGTTTTTCTCTCAGTAAAATGTAAGCTCCCTGAGGGCAAGCATCATTTTCATTTTGTCTTTGTATTCCCAGCTCCTGGCATATGTTTTATCAGTGAAAATAACATTGAAAGAGATGCATTAGCACATGGTTTGTACCTGTGGCATAGTGGCTAACATGCTGGATCTGAAATCAGAAGGATATTAGTTCAAATCCTGCCTTAAACACTTACCAGCTGTGTGACACTGGGTGAGTCACTTAATCTCTATCAGTCTCAATTTCTTCTTCAATAAAATGGAGATAATTATAGCACCTACCTCCCAGGCTCATTATGAAAATCAAATGAGATAACTTATGTAAAGTGCTTCGCAAACTTGAAAGTGCTCTATACTACTATATGCTACTCAAAGGGAAAGACCACAGTTCCTTTCTATTTGACTAGCCCCGAAACCCTTTTCAGAATGTGAGCTCCTAAAGAGGGGGACTGTCTTTGTTTTTTGTTATGTGTGTGTGTGTGTGTGTGTGTGTGTGTGTGTGTGTGTGTGTGTGTTTAATCTCCAGGGCTTAGCACATAATAGTCATTCAGTCGGGTTTTGTTTTTTGTTGTTGTTGTTTATTTGCTTTCAGTCATGTCCAGCTATTCCTGGCCCCATTTGGGGTTTTCTTGGCAAAGATGCTGGAGAGGTTGGCCATTTCCTTCCCCTGCTCATTTTACAGATGAGAAAAGTGAGGCAAGCAGGGTTAAGTGCCTTGCCCAGGGTCACACAGCTAGTAAGTGTCTGAGGTCAGATTTGAAGTCAGGAAGATGAGTCTTCCTGACTTCAGACCCGGTGCTCTACTTACTTCACCATCTAGCAGCCAAGCACTGCTTATTAAATGCTCTTTTATTTATTCCTTCATTATTATCAAAGCTTCTGCCACCCCCCACCTCCCCCGTACTCAAGAATGTCAGTCTAAGTAGGAAAAGTGACTTAAAAAAACCCAATTATTAGGGAGCCCAAGACTCTCCACTGTCATCGGTTAAGTTTTTAAATGCACGTTCAGAATCAACTGCAGCATTAGTTGGAAAAAGGGGAAGATGCTTGCGAGCACAATATCTCTCATACCTCGGCTATGATGCCCTTGCAAGGAAATAGGCATTCTAGTGACTTCAGCTCTTATCTCCCAAAATAGACTGCAAGTTCCCTGAGGCAAGGACTGAATCTTATTCATCTTTGGGTCTCCACCAGGGCTGGCACAGGGCCTAGCCAAAATAGAAAATTCTGCTTCAGACATTTACTTAGCTTGTGTAAACCTGGGTAATCACATAGCCTTTGTCTCCTTCGGTTTCCTCATCTGTAAAATCAGAGAACATAGGACAGCCTGAATGGACAGCCTGGTATTTGGGAGATATTTTCTCTAATTTTCATTTTTAGTGATGTCTCTTCTTTTTTCAAGGCCCTATTTTTTTTTTAATAAATCCCTCTGCTATTCAGTGAGCCATCCCTTATCACAAAGAATAAGAAATAAAGAGCAAAAAAGGAGTTTCATCAAAACTAACCAAGATATCAACTGAGTCTGACAGGGCGTGAAATATTCCACAGCTGTGCAAAGGAAGGAAGGAGGTGCTTTGTCTTATCTCCTCCAAGAGGCAAGACTTGGTTATTATAATTATGCAGCATCTGTGATAAAATAATAATAATAATTGAGAAAGGGGTCTGGTATCTTTGTAGACCCCTTACAGAGGACTTCTGGATGAGACAGAAGGAACAGACTGGCAGTGGATAGAGGACCCACATGGGTCATATCTTAGTCTATTGTAGTTTGGGGGG